TTCTGTTTGCTTGAAGTATTGATTTCCACCCCTTTACCTTGAGTCTAAATGCATCCTTGCAGGTTAGATGTGTTTCCTGAAGACAGCAGATACTTGGCTTGTATTTACTTATCTAATCGGCCAGCGTATGTCTCTTGAGTGGGGAGTTCAAGCCATTCACATTTATTGAGAGAACTGATAGATAGGGAAAATCTGTGTTCATCCTATTGGGTTGACATTTGTAGTTTTGTTTTCTCTCTTGAGCCATTGTGGTATCTGGCCTTGGATCTTTAGCTTTTGAGTGGTTTTACATTCTTGAGTGTTTCTTGTGCTAATCTGTGTGTAACTCTGTTTTAAGTACTTCTTGGAGGGCTGGTCTTGTCTTGGTGAATTCCCTCAGTCTTTGCTTATTTGAGAATGTCTTTATTTCCCCTTCATATACAAAATTTAGTTTTGTAAGGTACAAGATTCTAGACTGGGCATTATTCTGTTTCAGAAGAGTGAGATGGGGGCCCCAGTCTCTTCTTGCTTGTAAGGTTTCTGTTGAGAAGTCTGGCCTTATCCGGAGGGCTTTCCTTTGTGTGTTACTTGTTTCTTTCACCTTACAGCTCATAGAAGGGCCTCTTTAGTGGATATTTTGGTCAGTCTGATGACTGCATGTCATGGTGTCTTCCTGTTTGCATTGAAACTCCCAGGGGTCCTTTGAGCTTCTTGTACCTGGATGTCTAGATTTTTAGCAAGGCCTGGGAAATTTTCTCTATTATATCTTCAAATAGCTTATCCAATCCTTGCATGTTTTCTTCTTCACCCTCAGGATTGCCCATAACTCTCACATTAGGCCTCTTCACATAATCTCACAATTTTTTTTAGGCTTTGCTCTTTTCTCTTATTTCTCTGCTCTATCTCTGTGACTGACTTTTCTAATTGGAAGGTGTTATCTTCAATCTCTGAGATTCTTTCTTTTGTTTGATCTACCTGTTCTTGGGGCTTTCCACTGTGTTTTGTAGTTCCTTGAATAAATTCTTCATTTCCAGGTGTTCAGTTTGATTTTTCTTTAATATTTTGATTTCTTTAGTGAATTTTTCTTCCAAGTCCTGGAATTTTGCTTGTAGTTTCTTTGTGTTGGTTATCCATATTTTTCTTGCGTATCATTGAGTTTTTTTACAATCCATGTTTGAAATTCTTCTTCTGTCATTTTAGTGTTCTGAGTTTAGTTAATGTCCATTGCTAGAGAGCTGGTGTTCCTCTTTGGGGGTGTGCTTTCCGTTTGAGTCTTCATACTTCCAGATTTCTTTTGCTGGTTCCTTCTCATCTGGATCAGTTGTTCCTTCTTGCCTTTAGATTTCGTTTGGATAATGACATGCCCTTTTTAGTCTCTGAGCCAGTAGGTGGTGTTTGTGGGTGATATTCGACCACACCCTTTATGATGAGTCAGTAGATGCAGTAAAAGGGTGTGCAGAATGACCTCCCTGTCAGTAGGTGGCACTTGCTTGGAGGAGCAAGCTGCAGTGCTGTTTTTGGGTACTGTAACCAGCTCTTGTTCCTCTGGAGAGGCCCTTTTGTGCCTCGGGTGGTCGGTGGGGCCCTTGGATTTCCAGGTGTGTCCTTATTTTCCACCCTAATGGGGGCAGGTCCGGGAGTGAGTCTGGGTAGAGCTGGGTTGGGTAAGCCTGCCCTCAAGCTCCACAAATGCTGTTAGCAGGGGGCAAAGCTCTGTTCTCTGCTTCTGTGCAATGCTGAAATGGCCCAACTCAGCTGAAAAGTCTGCATGTGGGGGGTGGGGCTGTCTGAGACCTGCACTGTGGAGCAGGCCTCACTCTTTTCCACCCTCCTCTATCTCTTGGTTTCTCCCAAGCCTCTGCCAGTAGGCAGGACCTCAGGCCAATGGATCTCCCCTGGCTGTGATGTGGACCAGGAAGTTCCCTGCCCAGGATCGCAGCCTGATCTGGGTGAATGGCCCTCTTTTGGGAGGAGGGTGCCCCTCAATCACGCTGATCTGCCCCTGAAGACGCATACACCTCAGTAGGCTCATTCACAAATATCCCTTCTGTGCCCCAGGGCAATGTGATCGAGACCTGGGTGTGTGGGGTCTGGTCTGCAGGGCTGTCCCCTGGGCCCTGGAGATAAATCCCTGATCCTGCCAGGGGGAAGAGTGCTGGTCTCGAGTCACCCACAGGGTGCCCCAGCTGGATCAATGTCACTCCCCCTCAGGATTTGCCCCACTCTCCTGGAGTCACCAGGCAAGCAGCATCTGGGAAGGCTGGTGGGTAGGGAGCTCACAGTCTGAGTACCCCTCAGTCTGCTGTAGGGCCCCAAAAGGAAAGGTCCTGTTCCTTCAAGATGCCTCTGTGTGATGGCTAAATTGTCTCTCTGGGCACCCACGGGTAGACAAGGGGAAGGAGAGAATGGAGCAATATAGCACCTGCTGATGGGCTCAAGTCTGCACCTGGGGAGGTGCCCTGAGGAAGCTGGGAGTCTGGTGCCCTGTCTGCAAGAGGCTCACTGCTCACTGGCAGCAGCCGTCTCTGGGCTGGTGTTGGGAGATCTCTCCAACCATTCAGGAGCCTACCTGCAGTCTGAGATGTAAGGGAGGGGACAGTTATCTGCTCCACCTACCCTTGTCGCTGGTCTCCAAGCCTCTTGGAATTAGACCCTGCTGATGCCTTTCTCCTTCTAGTTCTCCTCCTCGACATCTTTCCGTGGAGTCTCCTGTAGTTTCAGGCATCCTTCCTTCTGACCCTCATGTGATCTATGTTTTTCTGCTAGTTTATTTTTTTCCATTTTCTTCTAAAATCTGTCTGTTTTGCAGAGACACTCTGGCTGGCGGCTTTTCTCGTCTGCCATCTTGGGATACCCCTGATTTGCTTCTCGATTTCTTAATTTTATGCTTTCTACAGTACGTACATGTCCTGAAAGGAAATAATCTCAGGCAAAAAATTATTTTTATGGTGATGTGGAAGAAATGCTAAATGTTTTAGCTAAACACCTCTGTGGCCTTAGGTACACCCAGGAGCTGTGTGCTAATAATAAATCTGTCATCTTCTCCACTCTTTGTGTCATCTTTTTTATCCTATTTGACTTTTTGGTCCCTTAGTTTTTCCCACCTATAAAATGGAGACAATAACAGCATTATCCCTTCGGCTTGTGAAAATGGAGTAAGTTAATATATGTAAAGAACTTCTTGGAGCAATACCGGGTGCATACATAACAAATATCAGTGTTATTATATATCATGTTGGGGTCCTCAAGACCACCCTCACATTTGATAATTTACTAGAACTCACAGGACACAGAAAAGCTGTTATACTCACAGTTATGTTTTATTATGGAGAAAGATACAAATTACAATTAGCAAAGGAAAAAGGCGCATGGGTTGAAGTCCAGAAAAGACCAGCTGCAAGCTTCCAGTTGTCCTTCCAGTAGTCACATGGACATAATTTAATTCTCTCAGCAATGACATGTACCAAGTGACATGTACAAAGTGTCATCAAACAAGGAAGCTCACCTATGCCTTGGTGTCCAGGGTTTTTATTGTGGAGTCAGCCACATAGGCATGCAGTGCATTTGTGACTGACTTTAGCTACTCAATCTTCAGCCTCCCCCTGCCCTACTGGCCCAACGAGGTCAAACTGATATGGGGTGACCTAAAGCATACAAAAACTGGCATTCACCATAAATCACACTGTTAGCATAAACTGTCTGGCATGACTCAAAGTCTCAGACACACAAAGACATTCTTATCAGGCAGGATATTCTAAGGGCGCAGAGGAGCCAAAGGCCAGTCCTTTTTTTGGAGACAGAGTCTCGCTCTGTTGCCCTGGGTAGAGTGCAATGGTGTCGTCATAGCTCACTGCAACCTCAAATTCCTGGGCTCAAGTGATCCTCTTGCCTCAGCCTCTTGAGTAGTTGGGACTACAGGCATATGCCATGACACCCAGCTAATTTTTCTATTTTTAGTAGAGACTGGATCTCACTGTCGCTCAGGTTGGTCTTGAACTCCTGAGCTCAAGCAGTCCTCCTGCGTTGGCCTCCCAGAATGCTAGGATTACAGGTATGAGCCACTGTGTCCAGCCCAAAGGCCAATCTTGAAGACTTTTTGAATGTGCAGGGTTTGGACAACCCGGGTCTACTGAGTTAACAATTTTACTGCACATATATGTGAAGTTTGCTTACTTGAACAATCTAATGATTTTCTTAATGTTTTGAATAACTTGTTTTTAGTATGTGAACATTTATTAAACACCTTCTGAATGTATAGCTCTTATACCTTTTCTCTATAAGATAGAAAACAATTTCGGTTTTAATCCATATTATAAACGTAGGGAAAAAAATTGTTATTATTCCAATATAAAAGGATACATACGAAACTAAAGATCCCTACTGCTCTTGCAATAATGGTGATAAGAACCCTCCATATGTTTTAACTATAATTCCATGCGAATGCTTTATATATATTATTAGTTTTAGTCTTTAACAACTGTAGGAAGTAGGTACTATTCTGTCACACAGGTGAGAGAATAAAGGTCCAGAGAGTTTCAAGAACTCCTTCAAGCTTCCCAACCAGGAAGGGGCAGAGCCCAACTTTACCATCTGATCCCAAAGCTCATGGTCTCAACATCATGCATGATAGTTTCCAATGACTTTGAGAAACAAAGTGTTTAAAAAGTACACTGAAACATTAAAAATTCGGCAAAATTTATTTGACTTTATACATTTCAAGATCCACTGGGATGTTTAGACACTGGGGCAGAGTGCGACTAGAATATGTGTGTCCCTTCTATTGACAGAAGAGGTTACCTATTGCAAAGAAGATTCCAAGACTCCAAAATGCCTCTCTCCATAACAATGCGGTATAGAAAACACAAGTCAGAAAAATAGATGCAAAAGGGGAAAACTATGTAGTTATTTTGAGTATCTTTATTAAAAAGGGGACTATAAAATCCAAATGTCCCCAAAGCTTCCAAAATTGTTGTCACCACGAATTGTTTGTGATTGTGTCTTTCTCCCTCCCCTCTTGTTAGATCTCAGTCTGTGGTAGAAGCTGGGACCCTGAAACATGAGGAGAAGGGAGAGAACGACAACACTCAGCCACTGCTGGCTCTGGACTGAACCCTGAGTCACCCCAACGCTCCTGCACACCGGCCTTCAGTGGTATCAGCCACCCAGGAAGCACATGTGCAACTGACCCACACAGACACGTGTGTTCCACTTGACACGAGATCCTCCACACCTGATCCCAGCAATGACTGTCATCAGCCATCGGTCTGAGCAGCCAGAGTGGGACAAAGACTTGAGAGATACTTTGTTTTTCAGTGAGGGGACTGGAGGATGATGCAAGGCATTTATGTAAAAAAGATTCTCCCTCCCTCCATATTTATGGTATTAAATGAACTGAAAAAAATGAAAAACTAAATTTGATGCACCCACTGCATTAGGACAAGGATTTTTCTGAGGTCACACACAAGGACCCTCTTCAGTTTTTGAAAATTAAGATTAAATACATTTCCAAGTAAACACATCAGAGTTAAACTGTGCAGACACAATTGTCAAGTTTAATGTAGTGCAAAGCCCTGAGACAATAGTATCTCCAGTAATATCCATTCTTATTGAATTATTTTCTTTGACCTCATCACCAGCATCAAATTGTTCAGCCTAAGAGCATGTTCTCATAGGCCTGGCTATTTGCAGAATTTTCTTATTTTGATATCCTGCAAAAAATGATTTTGACATCACATCTTGTGCGAGGCCATCAGCTGACTATCATGACCTTAAAAGAAGACACATGCAATTTGAAATATGATTAGGCCATCTTAGCAACACGAGTTCCCACAGGCAGCCTGAGAACCCATTAGTACAGTGTGTGTCTGCAGAGCAGAGACATCTCACTGAAAACACATGTCAGTGAATAATGACTCCATTTAAGTTGCCTCACTTGGGTCACTACAGCAAAGGAAAGTGCCATCGAACCTCTTAACACTCCCTGTCCACCCCACCCCCCTTGAAACTATTACAGGTATAGAGAAAGAGCATTGCTGTTGGTGAGACAGTAAACACTCAATCATGGGGGAAGACCCAAAAGGATGACTAGATATGCAAGTACTGCAATAAGAGAAGACTAGAAATGCAGGATGAAATGCCAAAGATAATTTTATTTCTTTATCTATTCTCCTTAGAAATGGAGTCCCCAACTAGGAAATCAGATATAAAATAAACAGATATCAAAGGATATGATACCATTATTGGACCACGTTTCCCAAGACCAGTGCATATTTTTAGATGTCTCTTATTTACCCAGCCATGTGCATGACATGGCCATTTATAAGTATGACCAGTTGGTGCTCAATGTCAAATAAAAAATATTTTAGTTGATAATGGCCAGTAAAATATGACTTTACATTTCAAGTATTTGGGAGGGTTAATTTGTTAGCTGAATTATTCAAAGGAAAGAGGTGATTCATCTGGCCGTAATCACCCCCAATACATATTATTACTAGTCTTAACCATTTATTATATCTCTTTCTCAATGGATCTAATGTTTTAATTTTTTTTCCTACTGGTAGAGAATAATAATAGAAGTAATTTTTATATTATACCCTTGGAGAAATAAAGTTGAAACAGAATTAAAAATATTTCTAAAAGAATTGCATCTCAGTATAAATAAAACCAATTCATTTTGTGTAGGCATTTCAAATCACAAAATAATAACACTGAAATAATTCTGCCAATGCAGTGACTGAAACACTTTTCTTATGGACTAAGACATAGGTAAGAGAAATGAAAAATTAAAGAGAACTAGAAAATCCATTTTATTGCTTGGGTTTATAAAATAGTTGTGGGATCCAAGTATTTACAAATGCTATTGGAGTCAATTATTGCCAACACTTTGCAACAGTAATAATAACTTCTAGCTTTCCAATTGGCAATATTTAGAATCCTACTGTAGTGGCCCGATTTTAAATACCATATTATATTTACTAAGAGCTAGTTTTTACTGTATTCCATAATTTCATTACATGAATGTAAGATGATGGTTCAACAATGACAACTTATAGTATGAATTTCTTTATGTATATGCAATATACATATAAGAACCAAATTCAGTAAGTGACACAAATGTTCCTACATGAGCATTGAATTGTATTGCCCTCTGTCAGTCATTTTCTCTGTTCAATAAATACTGAAGGACATAATAACTTTTTCAAGAGTTTGCCTTCTCTTCTGAACTGTGGTAATTAACTTTGAGATTTTTCCTCCTATGCCTCTTCATTGGATTTAGTGGGATTTTTGAGCACACAGCAAAACGGAAGGAACAGGACAAATATTTTGCAAATTCTTCTATGGAAAGCTAATGTCCTTAAGGTCAAGCAACAAGGGCCAATTTCAATTTTGAAGAACGGTTTTTTAAATGAGGTAAAGAGAACCTCCTCCTTTGTTCTCAGATTGAAAAGAAAGCACAAGTTTTCTCTACCTATGAATGAAATGTGGTGACCTATGTGCCATTTCTGCAGCATTTTTGTTCATATTGGCTTAGAATTCAGTGCGTGAATATCATGACATTCTCGCAACTAACATTTTTACTTAGCTTTGGTTTAAAAAATGCAATATCTAATGCATTGATACTTACTAAATTAATGACTCGATCACCTTTGGAATGAGTAGGCAAGACCATTTTTCAACTGTTATTTCTATGTCATGGGTAACACTAAATATGGATAATAATTGTTATTTCAAAGTGATGTTTAAATGGCAGAAGTTTCTTAAGCCAGAGAGATGAAGAGTATTCCAAACTCAAACAGGAAAGCAATCTCGACATCCCTACAAAGATCCTAGCATTCTTGGTGACCTTCCATTCTGTAATCCTTAATATTTCTATAATATTGTGATGAGAATCATCTCAAGGACCAAAGGGCTGTCTTCCTGTCACTCACATGGATCCATCACAGGGAAGGACACTTTGGATTCCTAGGCCCTATCTCATAGATGGCAAAGCGGCCAGGAGTCAGACACCCTAGCGGCTACCAGTCCACCTAATCCTGAAAATTTTTACTTCCATAAATTTGATTTTTTTCTCCCCAAGCCCTAAGACTTTGCATTAAAAGCATTTATGTGTGTTATTTTTATAACTTAATATAAAATTATTCTATGCCTTTTTCTAGTGTAAAAATTTCCTTTTAGAGAGAAATAAGATTTTGACAATATTTCCACTATTAGCATAGTGAGAGGAGAAATTAAGCATCTTGATCTCAGTGAAGACAAAAAAGCAAACAGACTCAAGGGTAGGGATCTGTACAGTTCATAGACATTGGTGTGATGATGTCTTCCTTTTTTGCATTAGGAAAATAAAATTGCTTTTTTCATGAGTGTCTTTTACTGAAAAGAATTAAAAGAGGGAAGTCTGAGTTCACCAGGAATATTACCATTAAACAGCAAGAGGTAAAGCATTTACACAGCTTGTCATTAAAATCAACAAAAAAGTAGTGGTACAGATGACAGACTAGTCTAGCTACCCTAGAAAAATATAACTGCCTAGACAGTTACAAAAATTACAAACTAAAGCAATCCATTCACAGTTTCCACATATATTCTCACTGTACACTGATTTAGACCTATTCTATGTCAAAAAAATATCTTTGGCTGGCAAGGTGGAAGCAATCAAATGTTCACCTTAAATACGGGCATAAGACCAGTGCTGTCATGGGATGAAACACAGCAGGGTGTTTTCTAAATGAATTGCGGTAATGCAAATATTTCCTTTAGTGTCTTCTAACCCTAGGAGGAGGCTTAGAATTTTTCAGGCTGCAAGTCAAAGAAATTAAGAGCCTTGGTGTTTGAACTTCTATCCTCACGCCCAAGGAGATGGAGCCAGAAACGCAGCCTCTCTCCAGTGTTCCAAGTTTGCATGAGTTTCCTGCTAAATTGCAGGAAGACTGCGTCTCTGCTGGGATGTCAGCTCTGGGTGCCACACATCCACGATGAATATAAGCCGGAAAGATGAAGCGTCCTGCCACACCTCGTGCTCAAAGGAGTCGTCAAAGATGAGCACCTTGCCTTCCTCCCAGGTCCTGCAACAGAAAGACATGGAGTCCTGAGTACAGCTTTGGGTGATTCAGGTGCCTGAGGATCAACTCCAGTCCACGTGCAGGAAATACCTTTTATGATAACCTTTGAGATATTAACCAGATAACCAGAACACCAAGCCCAAATTTATTTTTCCCTTGACGATTAAGAAAGAATTTCAGGATTCTTATTATGAACATCAATTTTCATTGCTTAGCACTGAAGATGCACAGAGGGCAGGGGAGTGGTGATGAGGGTGTGCTGATCTTATTACACGCCCTGCAATTATTCTCCATCCAACCCTAAGAGAGGCTTGGATCAGGCAAACATTCAAACGCACGCCCTGGGGGCTCACACACAGGACGACTTCCTGGTCAGTGACTCCACGGCTGCCCTCCCCAGCCCCTTGTAGACTGCTTTAGACCTATGGGTGGTGACTGAGTCCCAGGCATCTCTCAGGAACCCTGGCCTGGGGTCTGCACATCTCCAAACATTGTCTTTTCAGATCATTCCATTTGTTCAAGTCCTAATTTATGGAATAAAGGAGTCTTTACTTAAACCCAGTGACCAGAAAGCAAATAACTAAATTAGGTGTTTCCTAACTAGTATATTGGCTGAGGAAAATGGGCAGATTGGGAATGAATTTTGTTTATATTTTTAGTGTCATATGCTATGCAAGTGGGTTATCCACGGCACATTTTAAATCAACGCTGCAAAACACTCTTTAGAGCCTCCAGCACCCCCTCATAAGAGATCTGTGTAGAGACTAAGATCTAAGTATAGTATTAGGCTAAACAAAACAATCAAGAGAGAAATACGCAGGAGGCAGTTACAAGATGCTTTTCAAATCCAAAGGAGGTTTCTGAGCCATGCCAATGATTTCTTCTTTTTAAAAGATATTAATTGCCAATATATTAAATGTTGTTTTTAAAATAAAATTTTTACTAGGACATTTTCTTCAGATACTAAAATTCCACTTAATCATTTGAAATTTTATATCCTGGATTAGCAAATAATTACAATTATAGCAAGGGAAATGCCAGCTTGATTTCAAGTTACCATATTATCATAAAGATGTTTTCCTTGGGAAAATTACTGGTGTCTTTTTTTGTTCTGCACTAGATGCTTAATCAATATAAATTGAGTAATATTACGCATAGCAGGGCTTCTCAACCTCGGCACTACTGACATCTGGGCCGGATCATTCTCCGTTGTGGGGCTGCTCTGTGCACTGTAAGATGTCTAGTGGCTTCCCTGGGCTCCACCCACCAGACAGCAGTAGTACCCTCCACATCACCTGTGACAACCAAAGTGTCTCGTGTCTCTAGTCATTGCCAAATGTGGGGAGGGTGTGTGTGTATAAAATCGTCCCAATGGGAAATACTGACATATTGAATAAATCTTACAATAAAATTTCCAAGTTATTTAAACTAACCGATAAGGTAATGAATATTTGCAAGTTAAATGTTCACTAAAGGTGGAAACCAAACATCCACTCCTGCTACCCCCTGGCCCCCACCTTGTGTGTTCTCAGACACCTAGCCTAATGTCTTGCATTCGACAAACAGGTATTGCTGGGCTCTTTGATACAATTCCTCGGAAGGTTTAAAGAGTTCCACTGGAATTCCGCACGAGGAGAGCAAAGGACTGAAATACATGGACTCACAAGCAACAGACAGAATACGCATTCATTACCATGCAAAACCCAACTTGAAAAGAAAGGCAAAGCCAAGAAAAGTAAAAAATAAAACCCTGACAAGAAAAAGGAATGAAGTGATTCACAGCCTGTACGGTTAGGCTGTCATTTTCTAGGTCTCAGTGTTGTCAGTGGGATTAAGCGATGTCAGTCAACAGGGGCAAGCCTACAACACAGGGGGAGGGGGGAGCACATTTAAAAGGAAGAGCAGGACACCATGTGCACAGCAGCACTATTCGCGGCAGCCCAAAGGGGAAGCAACCCAGTGTACCTCAACAGATGCGTGAATGAACAAAACGTGGCATATACACACCACGGAATATTATTCAGCCTTAAAAAGGAAGGAAATTCTGACACATGCTACAACCTGGATGAACCCTGAGGACATTATCCCAAGTGAAAAAAGCCAGACAAAAAGACAAATACTATATGATTTCCCTCACATGAGCTCCCTGGAGTAGTCAGATTCACAGAGACAGAAAGTAGAAGGGTGGTTGCCAGGTGCTGAGGGGGAGGAGAGGAATGGGGAGTTACTATTTAATGGGTACAGAGTTTCAATTTTACCAGATGAAAGTTCTGAAGATGGATGATGGTGATGGTTGTACAATATGAATGTATTTAATGCCACTGAACGGTACACTCAAAATACGTGAGATGGGAAATTTTATGTTATATGTATCTTACCACAATCAAATAACAGGAAAAAAGGGCGAGGCAGGGGAGAGCATGTGGTAGAGGAGACAGAGGGAGAGAAGCAGTCTGGCTCAATGGAAAAGTCATGGTCTTTGAAAGGAGGCCTCTTGTCCCTGGTGTTTAATACTTATGGGGTGAGTTACTTAGCATACTTTGTATCTTCATCAGTATAGCTGATGTGAGGATTAGCGTATGGTTGGCACATAGTGGATATTCAATTAATGATAGCGACTATAAAATAGAGAATGAAGGAAAATATAGGAAAAACAGGAAAAATATAAAGACAGGTGAAATTTTGGGAAGTGGTATGTCACCAAAAATCACCTTGGCATCATTCCTTATGAAATCTGCCTTCATTTGAGAAACCTGAAAACTTCCAGGGAGGGATGAGATGTCAAAAACCTCGACAGAACCTGTGAAATACACTTTGTACAGTAATGACAAGTGATTCTCAAAGTTTTTTGGGTGTCTGGAAATCTAGAAGCTACTTAAAATACTGGAAATAATTAAAATAACTAAACAGAAAATTCTAGGCTACACAAAATGACATTTTTCACTAGATTCTGACAGGTATAACAAAGCCAAATATTTAGGAACATGTTATGGGAGAAAAGCCTCAAACGTTCATTCATTAATTTAAATTCCCTGTGAACTGGGAAAACTTATTAGCATTGGAACATACTAGTCACTCACGGAGCACAAGTGCATATAACAGTAGAATTTAAGAACCACAGCCTTGTGGCTGTTCAGACATATTAAGTCAAATATGAATTAGTGCAAACCATTAATTAACCCGTTTCTTAAACAAGAAATCTGGGAGGTATTCCAAAGGATTGCTAAGTGGCTTCCTTTTTTATTGTTTATTTTTTTAGGATCATAGAACTCTATGGGTAAGTGTAGCCTGTTAGACTTCTTATTTGCCCTTCCATTTTCTTTCATACCTTTTCTCAGAAAATAGCAAAGTACTCAATTAATTAATGTAGATTCTTTCTGAATACTTAAAAAAATGGTGCCTTTCGATTAGTTGTCAGAGACAGAATGACTAAAAGTGCATTCACCCTTAATCTCAAAGGGGAAAAGGGAAGAACAATAAAACCTCATCCACGCCATGGCCAGACTGAACTGACTCGGGGTTTAACCGGAGATCTCTCTCCTGCCTGAGAAAGGATGAGTGTTATACTACAAAGAGAGACAGAGCATAAAGATGTCAGGTCTTTAGATCTCTTCTGAATGAAAACCAAAGACTCTCATTAGAATGCAAAGAAATCCTTTTCAGGCCACTTGCTTTGTGAGCAAAGCTCCACCAAATATGACTAAGTTACACTCAAATTATGACACGGAAACAGTCCTCTGGAGAAAACCTCTTCAGCGTGGCCTTTGAAAGGGGTCCACCCGGAGGTGCTGCCGCAGACCTTCTCCCAGGACCCAGAGGAGAAGGATGGGGGTATGGGGGCTGCTGTCCATCCCCAACAGGCACTTGGGCTTCCTGTTGGAATTTCTTACCACTAAGAGAAGAAAACCTCTCCTTGGTTTGCCAAAAGATACAAGAGTATCGGGTCACAAGATAAAGCAATATTAAGTAATCTGTCAATTTCTCAAATTCTTATAATTATAATTAACGATAATGATATAATGGCGGCTGCATACAATTAATAACTACAATTTTGCCACAGAATTATCATCAATATTAATAAGGCTAAGTAATGATACTAGGTGCTTATAGAGTCTTCCACCTAAAAATTTTATAGATATTATCTTAGCCATCTTTGCTAAAACATTCTGAGGTAGGCAAAGGACATGGTTGTCATTTTCACGCAAAAGAGTCACATGGAAACAAGTTCAGAGGGCTGCAGTGATACTGGGATTCTGTGGTAGAAGCAGAAAGCCACTAGGCAGGTTTCATCACAGCCCAACACTTTGTCTCAAGATCATGGTCCTAGGGACATTCTTAGCGCCTGCAGACGCTATGCTGAGGAGGCCTGCAAGGCACTGAGGCAGGCTGGGTGGAATGCAAGAAAGGGTTAGAGAGCTCAGGAATACGGATACTTAACACAGCTCTATTCATTCTGGTCTATTGAAATTCCCCAGTTCTGACTCCATTGGACACCCTGGCATGGCGCATGCTGCAAAGGAAATGCATTATCCTCTCTCCCCGCTCCCAGTGCACACAGACAGCTTCTGACTTTCTCCTCTTGGCCCTGGGTCACCAGCAGTAGAGGGATCTGGAACACAGATGAGGATGCTGAAGAAGGAAGAAAAAGAAAGGAAAGAGGGAGAGGAACACTCATAGGGCTACAGAGATGGGACGCCACCCCCTCCCCACCAGTATCTCTAGCTGCAGGGTGGGGGCCTGGGGAGGAAAAGGAGAGATGTGAGTGGGGGCAGCTATCTGCTGCAATCTTGTCCTGCTGCCCTACCAGGGACCTTCCCAGTCCAGGCCTATAACTCACAGTCCCCTCTGTGCCATCCTTCACCAGCTCTGGCCCCACACAGCTTCGAGTTCCTATTCACTCTCTTTCCTAAGTCCTTAAAGCCCCCACCCTCCAGGTTGCAAGAACTACCTCCAATGCTGAAAGAGTGCTTGGTCTCACTCCCTAGAACGTTAAGGACAGAAGT